ACCGGCGGCGCAAATCGACGGTGAGGGTCTCGGTGGGGTTTTTTCGGTGCTAGGGGAGGCAGAGGGTGCAGCCCCACGGGTTTCGGGGGTTTCCAGCCCCGTTGGGAACTTCCTGGTTGGCAGCAGAGAAACCATTTCGGGTCTGGAGCCGCGGGGTCGGGCGAGTTGTCGTGGGAGCTCCCGAAAGGGCAAGAAAAGATGTTTCCTTTCCTCGTTCCTGGGCAGAGAGGGTGGAAAAATCCATTCCTCTTATTTAGGGCATGAACAGGATTTTGGCTGGAAGCAGCACATTTGTGTTTGCTGGCAAGCTCCTGTCGTGAGCCTCCGCTCTGCCCTGGGACCCCTCCCCGGCCGTGCGGGCTCGGGCCGGGTTTAAGATGTCACCGTCGCGCATCGCCTTAGAAAATGTGACTTGCGAGCGTGATTCACCATTTATTTGCCGCTTAAAGAGCACAGCCCTGAGCTCGTTTATAGGCTTGAACCAGCGTCGAGCCCAAAGTGGAGCTTAAGGGACTGGAACCTGGCTCTTCAGTGGGAGGTCTGAATATTTTTATTATTTTTTTTTTAATGTTTGTCCTTAGTAGTTGCCTTCTCATTAGTGACAGGAAGGGGCAGGACAATGTACACAAGTGTAAATTGGAATTAATTCTTAGGAAACCAGCCGGGATAGCCCGGTAAATAATGGGGCAGTTGGCAAAAAGTCCTGTGGTACTTGAGAATAAAATGGGGCAGAGTCAGGAGATCTGACACATTTCAGCTGTGCCGATTTCTCTTGGCTTTTTCCCCTCCTGCCCATCTCCCCACCCCAGGCATGTAAGGAGCCGAGGACGTGAGTGTCACCCCTGTGTCTGTAAGGTGGCATTTCCACTATCGAGAGGGCTAGAAATGTTTGGTCTGCCCTCGGGTTTTGCTACAAAAACAAGCAAAAAATCCAAGTTAAAGGTGTGACGGGGGGAGTTTTGAGGTTGGAGGGCGTTGGGGTTTTTTTAGAAAAGTCAAGTTGCCTGCAGGAGGAAGAAACCTGATGGCAGGGGAATTTGCAAGAGGGAGACAAAGGATTTCAGTCAGAGCAGACACTCAGTATATTGGAGGAGATGCTGTTGCCTCAGATGCCGAGTGGAAGAAGCGTGCTTGTCCCTTGGTCAGCGTAGGCACTTGCCTTCTTTCTTTCTATTTTCTGAGAAAGCCTGGAACAAAGAAGTTGGAACGTGTGGGAAGCCCTTTTGCTGCCTGGTTCCTGGGAGTCGTAGCCCGGGGCTGTGGGGTGAGCAGGGACCCAGTGCTCGGGTCTCGCCCTGGGAGTCGTCGGCGCCGTTTGGTGGCTCTGCCGGGAGCTGGGGACGCGTCGGCAGCCGGATCCCAGCCTTGGCCCCGGAGAAGTTGGGCCCCAAGGTGCAGACGCGAGCTGGCTCTGCCCTTCTCCTCAGGACTGACGCTGCTGGCAGCAAACCCGCAGGGCTCGGCTTCGCGGCGCAGTGAAATTGCAGGGTTACGGCTCTGGCGTAACTCAGTAAAGCTCTGTCCTGCACGCTGCCGCCCTCGCAGCTCGGCGGACGAGCAACTTGTGCTTTTCAGGTCCTCGCTGGTCTTTTGGTTACCTCATCCACTAACTGCTCCCTTGTCGTTCTCCCTCTGAGTCACGGCTCGAGCTGTCTCAGCAATGACAGCTCCATTTCGTTCTAGTTTCCAGCTTTTTTTATTTTTCTTTTTTTTTTCCACACTGAATTTGTTGCAAAATATCCGGCTGGTTGAAAAGCTGCTTTGTTGAGCTCCAGTTTGGGTTTATTTGTTGGTGTCCCTGGACCTCTGACATCTCCCTGCTGGAAGTACGATCTCCTTGGGGAGTGAGAGCTGGTTTGTGCGTTGTATATTATTCTGCAATTTTTGTCTCATTTTAAACACAAGTTCTACCTCAGTTTGACTTTGCTTTCAAATATTGGCAAACCCTGTTGCAGCTCTATTTGTGCTTTTGTGTATTAGGCTTAAATACGAAGCTTTGCTGGAAAGATCTACTTATGAAAAACAACAGCGATACCTTTTTGGTTAGTACAGGCTTGCTGCTTTTCCTTCTTAAGAAACTCGATCCATGTCTATCATCCAATCTGTCATCCAGGTTGCTCTGATTATTTTTTTTTCCCCTTTTTATTTCTGTTCTCTTTGTTTTCCAGGTTCTAGCTGATGCCCAGACTTCCTTCTAATGATGCCGTCACGTACGAATCTGACTGCTGGGATTCCCAGTAGCAAAGTCAAA